CAAGAGAAGGAGAATAATGCAGTTTCTGTGGGTGAGATGAGGGAGAGCCTCTTTCTAAATGTTCAATGACTTTATTCTCAATCGAAACTGCAACATTTAGCATTAAGTACAACTTATTATAAATGAAAATGACAAAAAAATCTACAATTTATACAAATGATAAATTTCTATCTTGGTGATCTATTAGTACTCTTATTAATTAAAGCAAAACTTTAAGATGAATATTTATTTCTAGGAACTTGAACTAATGATGATGTTGAACAGAAGCTATGCTGCTGAAATTGCCCACAACGTCTCAAGCAGAAAGCGCAAAGAGATTGTCGAAAGAGCACAACAACTGTCAATCAAGGTTACGAATGGCAGTGCTCGACTGCGTAGTGAAGAAAATGAGTAAACTGTTGTCATTCTGTAAAATAAACAATTATCTACCAATTTAGTTGTACTGTGTGTTGTGTATCTGGGTATGAATGATGGGACAAAATTATACTTGTGCTGCAATTCACTTAAAATAAGCATAAAACTAGTGGCATAACATTCAAGTACAATAGAAAACTGTTACATGACCATTTGGAGCTCTCTAAATGTTCACATAATAATATAACCGATCTTCATTCATGAATGCCTATATCACATGACTTAGTGTTTTTACCATAGGTCCTTGTGTGAGTTAATGAAAATTCAGAACAAGGTTGATATTTAATTATTTCGGTAATAAGGGTACTGTCAAGGCAATAACTGTGTTTGTGAAGAGTATTAAATACTCAAAGTTTGTGAAACATTTTTCTGATAATTTTAGGAGGTAAAAATTATTCTATCAAAAATGGAAGGGGAATGATGTCGTTTGGGTTGCCTGTGGTCATATCATCAGTGAGCCTGCGATACTTACTGGTGATTTAAAGACCCAAAACAAACAACATTGCACTTTCCACGGTTTGACTTCATTTACCCAAGCGTTTTCGTTGTTAAAAGCGAATGGTCTAAAATGTAATAGCATAGACTTAAGATAACCTGAAGATGGCTGCTTTCAAGCAATCGAAACTTAAACACGTTGGTAACCCGCTGCATGAGATTATAGAGATTACAGACTACTTGTACTTGGGAAGTGTTATACCAGCCAGAAATGAGGACTTGCTAAAAGAAAAGCAGATTACACATATTGTTAACGGTATTTTGATATATACTCTGTATTTTGAAATAACCTCAAAAAATCTGAAATCATTTTGTCTTTATTCTTTGTTTGAAAGTTTTGATTCAAAAAATGTCAAATTTTAATTAATATGAATTAACCATTTTTTTAATCATTTTAATATCCAAACAGCAACTGTTGAATCAGACCACGAGTACAAAATACCAGTAGAGTGTATGAAGATAAAAATCACTGATTCCCTAGAGTGTCATATTGGACTATATTTTGACATCGTAGCTGACAAGATAGGTAAACTTTTGATACAAGAATTATTTTTGGGAAAATATTTCTCAGGAGTATTTTAGGAAATACAGGCATTGAAGCTTATAAATTTTGTTATGAATCCCGGTTCTGATTGGCTGGGAGCGTGTGCTTTATGAGAGCACACAGCATGCTGCGCACACTTTCTACTTTGTCATTCGTATCAAAAATAACGGTCATTGTCATTGTATTTTATAAAAGAAATAAACTTGCTTGCTGTGCTGTGTGGAGTCATAAAGCACTTGGGGATTGGCAGAACACTTGAGTAGTGTCAAGAAGCACTCTGCTATGTGTCATGCTTCTCTTAACACTTCTCTCATGTTCTGCCAACCCCAGCCTGCTTTATCGCTGCACACGTGCACTCTCGCACATTTTCTATTTCTTCATTATTAATTTCATTTTGTGTGTATGCTAACTAAAGATAGGTGTAATGTTTGTGATAGAAAAAGTGAAGAATATGAGAGGAAAAGTATTGGTTCACTGTATGGCAGGAATTAGCAGGTAAAAATAAAAATATCATCATCAGCATCACTATCATCATCTTCACATTCACCATCATCATTTTGGGTGGATTCTGGCTCTACTTAAAGGGCAGATCCAGGACTTTTTTGAGGAGGGGGGGGGGTCCAAAACTAAGTGACGTTATTTTTGACGTGATATCTACACTAAAGTATACCTGTCGTTACACATACGTATGTGTTGCTTATTACTTGTATAAAATATGTAAGAGTCATGCGTTTAAAAAGATTTATGATATCGGCGTTGTAAAAATTCTCTGTAATATATCGTATGATAAAAAAGGGAACAACGAGTTGTAAAGAAGGGGTATGGACCCCCTGAACCCCTCCCCTGGATCTGACCAAGCCCCTATCAAGTGAATGGGAAAGAATCCAAGTTTCCCATTTTCTCATCCATCTCCCCCTCTACTGAATAGAAATGGTATATCATATGTTCACTTGTAGATCTTCAAGCCTGGTCATAGCATATTTGATGAAATACAAAAAAATGAGCTTGAGAGATGCATACCACTTGGTAAAGAAGAAAAGGCCTATCATAAACCCTAACCCAAGATTCTGGCAGTCTTTAGTAGATTATGAGAAAAAACTGTTTGGCAAAACTACAGTAACCATGAAAGAATCAGAATTTGGTAAGCATGTAAGACCTGGAATGAAAAAATAAATAAAATACTGTGAGGAGTGTGAAGGGAGAAGATAGAATTAGCCCTTTTTGAAGTATTTTCTCACTTTCTCATTTTTGTTGTTGACAGGAGTCCTAGTCCCAGCTATACACTGTAAGTCGGTCAAAGATCTCTTTAACTGGTGACCAACAGAACCAACCAACAGGGAAATCGCTTATATATTTGGGTGCATTGTGAGGTTTTATTATTTATGATATATAGCTGGACACAATTACTGTTTTCCCATGACAAAAAAATACATATTTCTTAATACTTGGATTTCAATGTGATTGTATAAACTTAAAAAAAAGACCAGGTAAATAGAGTTTAAATTTTGGCTAGATATAATTCAGCATGTAAATGTAATTTATTTTATTTTAAACAAAAAATACAATAGTGAACATAATGCTAAGTTAAATTTGTAAAATGTACATTTATGTAATTATTGTTGTATGATAGATTAGATTAAAAAAAAGTGAATAAACAAGACAGATTACAAAATATAAGTATTCTATTTATCCAATGAAAGGGAATATTACATAAGACAAATTCTAGTAAATCCGGAATCCGGCTTCCCGTTCCCTTCCCGTAAAATCCGAATGACGTATATAACCATGTGATCAAAAGTGTACGAGCACGTGATAGAAGCACGTGTGCGCGTGACATTATTCATCAACTATCCAATCAGCGTCGACTATCTGTTATTGAACGATTGTTTGCTTCGTGGGGGGTAGTTGTCTTATAGTCTACCTTGTCAAGATGGAAGAACCTGCTTGTAGCCCAGTTCATTATAAGAGAAGCATGTCCTCTGCGGAGCTAGAGTTTGAAGATTTCCTTCGGGAAGAAGATGAATTGCAAAAGCAACGACATAAGGACTTTCAAAAACCGAAAAATCCCATCCAACCGTTGGATTACAAGTACAAACTAGGTAGGGATGCTGCTTATTTCGTTTTGCGTGTAATTTTTTGGGGGGTAAATCCTACTACGAGGGCCCTAAAGTAAGTTCGTAACGATCTATTCTCGAGCGAGAATCAAAATACGGTAGAATGTATAAAAGTGTATTCTTTATCGTACTACCATTTTCTTTTCCTAAGAAAAATGTTTTTCAAACGCCAAAAAACCAAGAGGATTTGTAGACAGAACGAGCTGTTTTGCTTTACCTTAGTATGGGGGGAGGGGTTAGCTTTCACATTTTAGTGGATTTTCTTTCTCTCGCAAATTCACGATTTTCAAATGTCGTCTATGAAAAAATTTGAAGCATAATTTGAAGGGTCGTGAAGGGTTTCTGGTCTTAAATATCTCCCCAACTTGTAAAGCAAAGTGCAGAGGGCAAAAATGAGACGGTGGGGGAGGGTAGTGAAAAGTAACTTGTAGAAATTTTCTCATTGCTTGGAAATCGACTGAATGGATCTCATTGCTGTAATAATATATACTTGTCACGCAACATTAGGCTCTATTATGTAACAAATGTAATATGACTCTCTCTCCCCTCTCTCTACACACATTGTATCAAGTTAAGCACCAGAATAAGTATGCCGAATTAATCATCATTAAAGCAAGCAATCATAATCAAAGCCTCCACTAAATATCATGACAATTGCCAGCTTACGATGATAGGCAAAAATACACTGCCCATCGTATGCTATCAACCATTGTGTGGTATCAACTATCAGTGTGGTATTGATCTCAGCTAATTGAATCTAATACTACCCATCATGTGCTATCAACCAGAGAGTATTGTATTGGTTGGTGTCAATCAGCTAAATGAACTTCATGAATCTCACTAGCCCTCAATGAAGGGTAAACATTGCCCTATTGAAAACTTGCCATCCAGATGGTTAAAAAATGTTAAAATATAACATTGCAGATTGCACTTTACCTGAATACAGCCCAAGATTCATCAATGTCCCAACTATAATTGTTTTGGTTGGTTTGCCGGCAAGAGGAAAGACCTATATGGCCAAAAAACTGGGACGCTATCTTAACTGGATAAGCATTCAAACGAAAGGTAAATAGTTCAATTTTATGAAGAATACAAAATTATTTATAGTGTAAGAGGTTTATAAATATATAAATGGGAATTTAAGAGTGGTCAAACACAGTGGCTTTTCTTCCACTGAATTCCAATATTGTGATTTAGAAATTGATTATTGCACAAGGGAGGAAAACCAGAGAACCTGGAGAAAAACCCTCAAAGTAAGCAACTCTACTACTCACACAGAATCCAGAAATCAAACTCAGATCATCATGGATTTCAATACCAGCTTGAGTAAGCAGCAAAGCATAATGAATGGGCGGAGAGCAGCAAGCAAATCTTTTTCATGTTTTCCCTAAATTTTTGGAAACTTGAATCAAAAATAGGTGACAAGTTAATGTATTAATTGGCTAGATTCACTGGCTGCCGACTTCTATTTAAAACCCTGGCTCACATTGGTGAGAAGCAAGCACTCTAAACGCTATGCCACAACTGCTTCTTTGTTGTTATTATTATCAATTTTTTTATTGATATATCCATTATTTTTTGTAGTATTTAATGTTGGTGAATATAGACGGAAAGTTGTTGGGACAGACAAACTGCATGATTTCTTTAGAGTTGATAATGAGCAAGCCCAAGCCATAAGAAGGTATATTATATTAGTTATATTGATAAATATACATCTGGGGCTCAGATTTTTCTGAGTCAGATGTTATTCCAATCTTCTTTCATATGTTAAATATACAGATAACGAATGGTTTTGGAACTAGCTTGGACTGCGTCTGGTGTTTTTTAGTTGAAACAAATATGTCGTAGGTAGATAATTTCATCACCGTAGGTATAAAAGATAGTAGACTCCGACGAAGGACTAATGTCCAAAACGTCAGTCTACTATCTTTCGTACCTACGGTGATAAAATTATCTACCTACGACACATTTGTTAAATATACATATGTCTATTAAATAAAAAGCAGATGATTAACTTGCTGTATCATTCATTGATTGTATAGGCAGTGTGCATTAACCTGTTTGGAAGATGTCAGCAAATGGTTGTCAGAAGGAGGACAAGCTGCAGTGAGTGTATAAAATAATAAAGATATTATTAATCATTAATAACTAAAACCATATCTATTTCATTATGATTAGAAATGAAATGAATTTGTATTTTCACTCATATATAAATTGAAACAAATGTGTCGTAGTGGATAATTTTATCACCGTAAATACAAAAGATAATAGACTGACGTTT